TAGCCCATCTTTTAATTGGGTTACTTCTTGTCTTGATTCTCTGTTTTTTGAGTTTGTTATATATTCTGGATATTAAACCTCTGTCGGATGTGTCACTGGTGAAGATTTTCTCCCATTCCATGGGTTTTCTCTTCACTTCCCTGGTTGCCTCCTTTGATATACAGAAGCTTTTTAGTTTAATGAGGTCCCATTTGTTAATTCTTGCCCTTGTTTCCTGAGCAATTGAAGTCCGGTTTAGAAAATCCTTTCCTATACCTATATCTTCTAGGTTTTTCCCAATGTTTTCTTCTAAAAGTTTTAGAGTTTCTGGCTCTACATTGAGGTCTTCGATCCATTTGGAATTGACTTTTGTGCAGTGTAAAAGATAGGGGTTTAGTTTCATTCTTCTACAGGTAGAGATCCAGTTTTGCCAGCACCATTTGCTTAACATGCTATCTTTCCTCCAGTTAATGTTCTTGGCCCCTTTGTCAAATATCAGGTGGCCAGAATTGCAATTATTCATATTTGGGTCTTCAATTTTGTTCCATTGGTCTATGGGTCTATTTTTATGCCAGTACCATGTTGTTTTTATGACTATAGCTCTGTAATACAGCTTAAAATTTGGTATAGTAATTCCCCCAGCATTGCTCTTAGTGCTCAGGGTTGCTTTGGCTATCCAAGGTCTTTTGTACTTCCATATGAATCTTAGGATGGTTTTTTCCAATTCTGTGAAAAATGTCATGGGGATTTTGATTGGCATTGCACTGAATCTATAAATGGCTTTTGGTAGGATGGTCATCTTCACAATATTAATTCTACCAATCCATGAGCATGGGAGGTCCGTCCATCTTCTGATGTCTTCCGGAATCTCTTTCTTTAAAGGTTTAAAATTTTCATTACAGAGCTCTTTAATGTCTTTGGTCAGGTTTATTCTGAGATATTTTATTTCTTTGCAGCTATTGTGAAGAAGAGTGTTTCCACATGCTCTTTCTCTGATTGCTTCTTGTTGGTATATAGAAAGGCTACAGACTTTTGTTCATTAATTTTGTAACCTGCCACTTTACTAAACGTGTTAATAATTTCTAGGAGTTTTCTGGTAGAATTTTTGGCATTTCTTAGATAAAATATATCATCTGCAAAAGGGGATAATTTGATCTCTTCTATTTCCAATTATTACTCCTTTAATTTCCTGCTCTTGTTTTATTGCTGTTGCAAGAGTTTCAAGCACTATGTTAAGGAGAAGTGGGGATAGAGGACAGCCTTGTCTGATTCCTGATTTCAATGGGAATGCTTCCAGTTGTTCTCCATTTAGAATGATGTTGGCTGTGGGTATGTTATATATGGCTTTAATTATGTTGAGGTATGTTCCCTCCAGTCCAATTC